CCATGAAGATGATGGAATTTGGCCTTCTGGCCCGGCCGTTATAGGCAAAATTTAATTTCAACACAAGTTTAATAAGACACTTTGGCCATATCACCACACCTTCAACATGTTATTTGCAATTTGTGACTCTTGAATTCACTTATACCCTACCACTCAACCTGAAAACATCTCCAAACACCATGAAGATGATGGAATTTGGCCTTCTGGCCCGGCCGTTATAGGCAAAATTTAATTTCAACACAAGTTCAATAAGACACTTTGGCCATATCACCACACCTTCAACATGTTATTTGCAATTTGTGACTCTTGAATTCACTTATATCCTACCGCTCAACCTGAAAACATCTCCAAACACCATGAAGATGATGGGATTTGGCCTTCTGGCCCAGCTGTCATAAGCAAAATTTAATTTCAACAAAAGTTTAATAAGACACTTTGGCCATATCACCACTCACTTGCTCACCATTTGACACTTTCATGCTCAAATTGCTGTACTGTAGCATCTTTGATGCTTCACCTATTTCTCATCTTACATTGTTTGGTTTTTTATTATTTGGACAAAGCTTTTTTCATTTCAAACCAGGCAATAAGAGGCAAAATGAGAGTTTAAATTTATTACAAAGAAAACTTATGAAAATAATCTAGTCATTTGATCAATACTTATCCATTCAATCATCATCTTCACCACTTTCATTTTGCTGCAGCATCATGTCAATTTCTTCCAAATTCATATCCCATTCAAAAATATCCTCAACATCATTTTCCCAATTGTTCTCATCCTCTTCATCTACATTGATATTCCCTGCAACACCTCCCATGACCACCACACCTGGAACTATGTTATGAGTGATATTACAAAACCTAATTACTCCTTCAATCAGTGACTCAAAATCTCCAGGAATCTTTGAAGAATAGTAGTTTGATTGCAGGAATGTCACCTGTGCCATCTGGTAATGCCACACGCGCGCAAGAGAGTCATCACCAACCTGACCATTCATCCGGAACACCTCAAGAACAGGGGAGTTCCAACCTTCGTACAGTTGGCATACGCGGTCGAAGTGCTTGCTCACAAGCACTTTCACTGCGATGGTTCGTTGATCAGGTGCTAGGGAATTCAAGGTGCTGTGGTTCATGAAAGACTGGAGTTGGGCGTGTGTGGCAGGGTCTTGTCCAGCTGTGGGGTGATTTCCTAGCAGTAATAGCAAGTCTAGAAGGCGTTGGAATTGCTGAGTCGTCCAACGCATAAGGCGGCGAGTCTCCCATTGTAACCTCCGTTTCTCTTCATTACATTGACGTAACCGAGCCCACGCGCGCATGCCAACTTGAGTAGGACGGTCACTTGCCCAAGGTTCGTTACCGTGAGTGAAGAGACCATCGTTCCAAAACTGATCATCGGGTTCAGATGCCAACAGTTCCTTGAAATCCATGGCTTTTGGGGCAACGCGATCGGGAAAAGCTGCCTTGAAAGCTGTGAGATGCCGGTTATATGTGTCAAGGGCCGGTCGTAACTTGGCTGCGCGAGCTTTTATGGAAGCCAAGACTTTCTCTTGACCACGTTGACCTGGATTATTTGAGTTAGTACACATAAAGCCACACCACAATCAGTTGAGTACTTACCCAATTTTGTAGCCATTCCAACCTGTTGTACAATCTCTAACGGACGTTTCTCTTCCTTGATAGCAAGATAGAGATGTCGAACAATTGATTTGGCATACCAGACCTTCAAGAACAGAGTCGTGTGCTTTTCTGATGGTCCAAGAGAATCAGCAACCCATACAGATACCCCTACATATAGATTAATGAACAAACCTTGTAAGCCGTCGGTCATTTCGTTAATACCAATCATCTTCTTTTGTTTCTGAATTCGTTTTTGAAGGTTGCCAAGCTGACGTGCACGAGTCAACACTTGCTGAGGAGTCTGAGCCACAGATCTCCTGGTACAGCAAAGGAACAAATCGTCAATCAGCAGATCAGATTATTGGCTAGCATCAAATTGATGAACATTTCAAGACTCACCAAGCAATGTCCAAATCATCCTCTAAACAGAGGAGCTCGCCGAGTTCAAGCTTTTGCTCTTCTTGCCGAGATTTGGGATCAAGCATTGCTTTTCTTTCGGCAGCCCATTGTTCAATAAAGAACTCTTCGGTATACTTTTCGCCCTCTTTGTGAGGATTGGGCAGTGCGTAGATGTTAGTCAAAATCGTTTGACTTTTCTGCTCTGTTGATATCGCTTGATTCATCCGTGCTAAAAGCCATTTGCCTGGATACACACATTGTTAGAATCATCCTACACTGATATCATGGAATGACCACTTACCACTATTATGTAGGATGACCTCGATGAAATGCATGATGCGATCACAGATCGCTACCAGCCTATGGAGTCGTGTTGAAGTACGCAGAACCCCAACCAAGACGGATAAGAAGGACCATAGACGTTCGAGTCCTTCTCCGTCAGATAAGCCCCATTGACTGTTGTATCTTGGATTGTATGCTAGCTGGCATTTCCACTCGTGCACATACGCGTGGAACACTGAGGTTCCAAACTGTAGACGCGCATGATCCTCGGGTAGAATGTTTCGCTAGATTGTCAAACATAAAAAACAATCAATGCAAGTCAGAATGATTCTTTCGATTGGTCAAATTTGGAAAAAGAAATCAGACTTACACATTTAAGGTGTCTCTCGAGATGACACCCGATGTCATATAGAATGCCAAAACGCTTTCCAGGAAAATCCTTGATTATCGACTTGATCAACGTGACTGAGTAGTATAATCTGAACATAGCAAAGAACAAGATATCAGTACATACCTTTGTACTGAGTATAAGATGAGAAACTCACTTTTCTCCAGTCTTGTAGATATTGACAAGTCACAGGGGGACATCGTGTCGACATGAGGCTGCGAAGAGACCGGTATCGTCGCAATGTGCCCAAGTGGATGTGTTTCGTAAGTCGTTCGCTGCTTTATGAGAATCCGAACAAGGATTCTAAAGCCATGGTGAGATAAAATGAGTACTCATGAGTTTGTACTGAAGATAGAGAGTGAAAAGAATCAATAAGAATTTCCACTCACTTGGCCTCCTTCAATAGGCATGTCAATCGTCGATTCCACAAAGGACTTGCTTTGATCGACTTCTGAAGGTTTGACAAAAACGGAGGGATATTGATCATCGGTAGGGACATCTTTACTTGACTGAGTATTATGCCGCTGCTGAAAATTTCCGTCCATGCAAAATATGCTGTACAATTCTTGATCGGTGCGGTCTTCGTTTTCGGCCGGCCCAAAGCATCGGGGACACTTGGCTGCCCACAAGTCTTCGGTTGTATGTAACATACCTTCAGAAAAGAGACATGATTGAATTTGATGAATTCAGGTATATACATCAAATGTGTTGGAAAAGGGTATCCTGAGAGCGCGGGTCTTTTCTGCGAGAGCTTGACCGACTAATTTTGTACGACTACGAGTAGAGATAAATGTCAAGAGACCTTCAATAAAACCGCCTTTACTGAGCCCTGCTGCTTGCCACATAGCATAATAGAATTGGAGAAGCCGGATCGAGAAGGCGGTGCGAGGTTTGGACGGGGAGCTGGCTATGTATCCATGGTATAGCAGTTGAATCACATCTGGGTGGCATGAGCAGAAAGTGATTGGATGGTTACTGTGGAAACCTGTACATATGAGTCAGTGTATAATCTTAAATGCAACAGGCTGAGAAAAAGAATTACCAAGTGAATCAATTAAATCAACATTGCGCAAATTTTGTTGAGCTGGTGTACAGTTACATCCAGGTGGCTTAGTTCCGATATGAGAATCTTGAGAAGTCCAGTTTTTTGTCACATGTTGACAATAAATGCAAGTAGATGTCATTTGGTTTTCAAGTTTACCCCATTCCCTGAAGCAATCTTGACGTTTATCGAGATAGTTTCGATAGCGTCTTTGATAGTAGCGTCTCCGGAATTCGTTGTTGCGTGCAAGTCCTTCACCATCACGAGGAACCTCGTTGTTCTGTTCGTTAATCCAATCATTATCATCATTAACATCAATATGTGGTAATTTGGGTGGGGGTGGGGGAGGAGCTTGGCGTATCGGAAGAAACTGATTGAGCTGCTGGGCGACTTCCTCAGCAGCCTTCTTGAATTCTTCCGGGGTTTCTCCAGTTCGTCGTTGTCGTTGGGGTCGTGAGACTGAGTTGGATGAAACAAAACGAGCAAATCGCTTCGGTGGCATGATGAAAGATGAAGACTTGAAAAAAAAGGCAAAGACTCAAAAGTGAAAGCTAATAAACTAGAAGAAGGCTAATAAACTAGAAAATGGATACGTCAATAAAAAACCTCATCAAAGAGGTGAAAAGAGGTAGTTAGTATAATCGAAAAAGATGAGAAGACAATCAAACATGTTCGAGGGGAACAGACGAACCAACAAGGCTAAGTTATACAAATAACACCGTTTGGTTTCTGAGCGGCTCGACCAAGGTGGATGTAAATTGATTTCACGTAATATCGATATCGATGGTAATGACATTGTTGATCCTGTTGATCCTGAATGTTCGTGCGGTTTGAGAGAGGATGAGGGGATGGGTGCGGCTGCATAGATGAGTGGATATGTTATATTACATATATTACATATGTATGCATAGTAAAGTTAGGGACTTATCATGTGTAGGTGCCTAACTTTGAATGTTATGTAGGGGATACTCCCGATGGACGCGAGTGGCAGGGGATGGCTTGAGAAGCGTGTCTCAGTCAAGCCCATGGGAATGGCCATACATCTGTCTTATAACCCTAAGGGAGAGTCGACGCTGGTGCCTGCTGCTGCGTTGCTTCTAGCATCACAAATAATTGTTATTATTTGGCTATTAGATTAAACCAAAGGTTTTATTTCGAGAAATTGAATTTGAAGAGAGAGTCTCATGGTTCGAAACCTCAAATATCCACAAGTTGCGAGATTGACCAGGCTCGACGCCTTCAGGAAGCCAAACTTTTACAGATTAACAGGTTCATCGATGTTTGTACTGACAGCCTTTCACCATATATCTCACCTTTGTGCTTCCAGGCTCTGTAACCATATTCTTTGATGGAGTGAATGTTGACATATCAGAGACATACTAACTAGGGCCTCGGTTACAGGTCAAGATTTGAAGAGACTGAAAAATTCAATTAAAAATGCGTACCAATTCCGCACAACAAAAAAGGAGGTAGCCCTCCCGTATGTTACAGGATGGATTCGAAGGACGTGCTGCAGGGTATCCTAGAGTTATCACCGATACCACATACGAAGGTCAGCTGATCAAAAGCAGCAGAGAATGAGCAGCTATGGTTTGATACTAACCCGGCGCGTTTGAGGAGTTAGGAACCTGTTTTTGTTGTGAGCACCAAGGTGTCTGAGGGACAGGACATACAGAGAGGACTAATGGCGTAAAGATTGATAAAATCGTAGAGAGGAGTATAGCAGATCGAAACAGAAGTTGGAATTTCATGATTTGTGCACTCAGTCTTCAAGGGTGGATGTCGACGTTTCACAAAGGTATTCGTGTAACTTGGTATCCAAACGTGATTTGATGAAGTTGAGATGATTTTTTTTTATAAAGAGGGGGAAAAAGTCTCTTGAGAGTACAAGCAAGAGAGAGGAATATATCTTGTTTATGGTTGTCGAGACAGACTGGTATCGTACATACACATATGATTGAGGGAGGGAGTTGCCAGGAGTTGCCGAGGAACTTTGAACTGAGGACGTTTTTCGGGTTTCAATGACAGTTCAGATTCGTAAAAAGTCCCACACTGACTAGCACTGACTCCAACCGGGTCAAGAAGACACTTGACAAAGAATAGGTGTCACAGCACGACTTGTCGTATAAATCGTATGCATCTCGAGACTCTCGACTGATGGCCGCTTTGTTCAGGCGTACCAGTTTCTACTTTTTTCGAATTTTTTAGTTAGTGTAATATGCAATTTTAGCAACCTGGCACTTTTTATAAAAAAATGTATGCATCTGGAAAGATCTGGAACCATCTGAAATCTGGAGAATAAAAGGTCACTGATTTGGATAAGTGGTGTAATATCATGGGATATGATTTATATACTATGGGTTTATGAAAATTTGAAATGTTTCGAAGTTCTGAATGCTGAGTTGAAAATTGGAATTTAATCAGGAAACAAACGCGTCAAGACTCAATACACGAGATAAACCAATCCGATTTAAACCAACAATTTCGAAAAAGATACCCAACTATCATTCTCAATAGATTTATACCATACCCAAACAAAATGGCAAGCTTATCTTACGAAGAAATTAGACAAAGAAACATTGACTCAAGTAAGTTGATTTATTCGAAAAAACTCATCACCAATCGAACAATGAACCCCAATTGATATCCTATAATCATTTCCAGATCGTCAGCTTTTGTTATCTTTGAAGCTATCAGGTCCATGTGCAAATCCAATAATACCAAAACCACAAAAAACCAAAAGCAGTGAAAATCAAACATCTAAAAAACCAAAAACCAAAAAACTTGCTACTAAAATCGATGAAGAAGAAGAATCCAATGTTCTAGATGATCAAACGAACTCAAAGACGCGTAGAAGAAGTGGTAGAATACAAAAAATCATTAAATCAAAAGACGAAGATTATCAAAAATCATCATCAGAAGAAGAAAGTTCAGAAGAAGAGGAAGAAGAAAATCTTAAACCGAATCCTAAAAAACGAAAATCGACGGGTACTTCATTTCTTCCTGTCAAACGACCACGTCAATCTGGTCCTCCTCGTCGAAAAGCTCGTTCTTTAACTGCTGGTCGTCCTAACCCTAAAATCTTTGGTCATCAGATTGGTGTAGAAGTAGGAGATTGGTGGGATTCTAGAATGAGTTGTTCTCAAGTTAGTTTCTTTCAAACCCTACTCTTTTTTTAAACAAAATTTACAAGTCTCGTTCATTTCATTGACTTCAATCGATCTTTAGGCCGGTATTCATGCTCCACCAGTCTCAGGTATAGCAGGAAACGAGACTGAAGGATGTTGGAGTGTAGCTTTGAGTGGAGGATATGAAGATGATGTAGATTTAGGTTATGCATTCACATTTACCGGAGCAGGAGGAAGAGCATTAAGTGGAACAGCCAAGAATCCGAAAAACCTTCGTACAGCACCTCAAACCTTTGATCAAGAATTCACGGCTCTTAATGCTGCACTTCGTACTTCTACGGAAACTAAAAATCCTGTTAGAGTCATTCGTGGCTATAAGAATCATAGTCCATTTGCTCCTGAAGAAGGGTATCGTTATGATGGTCTTTATTTGGTTGAAAGAGCTTGGAGAGAAGTAGGTCAAGCTGGATTTCAAGTTTGTAAAGTTAGTCACGCTTTTTTTCTCTATTTTTCTTTATTCCAAGATTGAAATCGAGTTTTCCAATGATCTAAATCTGATTTTCTTTGGTGATTTATTCTAGTTTGCGTTTGTCAGATTACCTGGTCAACCTAAGATTCCAGTAAAAGAAGGTAGAGAAGCTGAAGCTGAAGAAATGTATAAAGATATGGGATTCGTTATCGATGAACTTCCTGCTTCTCCTAAAGCTCGACCTGTTTGGACTAAAAAAGCTGCTCAAGCTCGAATCAAGACTGAGGCGAAGGAAGATGGTTCTGATCAGGAGGTAGAAGGAGATGGGGAAAATAAAGAGACCCAAGTTAAGGATGATGATCTTAAAGAGGATAAAGTCCAAGCAGATGATGTTGAAGAGGATGGAGTCAAAGGCGATGATCTTAAAGAGGACGAAGTTAAAGTCGATGATCACAAAGTCGATGAAGCCAAGGTTGATGATCATAAAGAGGACAAAGTCAAAGTCGATGACAAGGACATTGAGGAATCAAAAGAAGAAAACAGTAAAACCGAAGAGAACAAAGTCGACGACGATTCGAATGTCGATGAGATGATAATCGAAACTAAAGAAGAAGCTTCAGAGAAAATCAATGATTTGAAAAAGGTCGATGATAACGAAGTAGATGAAGATCCATCATCAAAAACCACTACAATCTTAGAACAAACCCCTATACTTGACGATAGTACTGAAACTTCTGAACCTAAACCTGATTCAGAATTGATACTCCTACAATCTCTGATCATGAAGCGATTCTTGATGAAGAAAAAGAATTGAAAGATTAATGATGAGTCTTTGGTATTGGATTACTCGTTCTCTTATGAATCTGATAGGTTTTTAGAGTAGATATATTTTTCTTTTTTCTGGTTATTTCTTGTTTGGACAGGTTTGAATTTTACGTTTTGGAGTAGTTTTT